CATTTTTAAGTATTTGTAGGAAGGTGGTCGACCTTTCCACAATTCATAAGGAATGCTTTTGGTTTTCTTGTGGGGTATTCTATTAAGAACATAATTAGCAGACAATATTGCTTCCCCCCACAAGTTCTGTGGTAAGCCTGAACTTAGTAACATGGCATTCATCATTTCTTTTAGGGTTCTATTCTTCCTTTCAGCAATTCCATTTTGCTGTGGAGAATAAGGGGCTGTAGTTTGGTGAATAATGCCATGTTGTGCACAAAATTCATTTAATGGTGCATCATATTCACCACCCCTATCACTTCTAATATAAATCAATGAATTTTTTAAAACAAATTCAAGAAAAAACTAAAATAATTATGACTACTCAAGTCAGAATTAATGTTTTGACAAAATCATATCCTCATAAAAAATTTTGCCTAAGAATCAAACAATGCAAAAACCCATTTGATTGTATACATTCTTGCAACTCAATAACAAATAAATGTCACTGTCATAAACATATTTGTGACTGAAGAAAATTAAATTATCTCAACTAATGCAAGAGATACACCCCCATTTTAACAAATTCTACTACGCAAGTAAAATAATTATTAATGACATCTCATGTCACATAAATCAATAATCAACATAAAAGATTTCTTAAATTACTTCCCAATTAAACGGACCGATATAATTACATACATCTTTATGTGTAAATTTCTCTGGTGTTTAAACACCCATTCAAAATTGATTAGAAATATTCAAATTAACATGCTTATGTCCAAAGTTGACATAACAATTTATCATTCCAAATCACTTGAAATTATTGTTAAGAAATAACTTGAGTTGATATCATACATACATATCAAACGCATCAATTAAAAATAATGAATTACCAAAATAAATTAATCATGCATGATCCCATCACTTGCATCATGAAATAAAAGGATTCTCAACTCATAAATAAAATCCAACGCATTTAAACTTTAAACTTCAAAATGACGAAACATACCTTCATTTAATCAGTTTGATTTGTACATAAATAAACTAATTAAATATGCATTCAAATGTTCTTGTGAATATATATATTTACCAACTCATGTGCATAAACTATTCATGACTACGAATCCACACACAGAAAATAAAGAAAATAATCTTGCCACAAAGGTTTCTTCGTAATAAAAATGAAATTAATTTGTAAAACTAATATTTTATTCTAAAAACAAATTTTACCATGTATACTCATAATGAACTATGATAAAGTCAAAAGAATTAACACCTTTTCACAAAGGGTTCAAAAAAAATAAGTGGTCTACCAAACGAAACCATAAGTCACTTATAAAATTAACAGATTGTGACCGAGTCACAAAGTTACATGATTGATTAACAAAATTAATTTTCTAGTTACTAAAACTAGAAAATAAATTACAATACAAAATAATTTTATTTTCCTTGTTACTAAATCTAGTAAAATAAAATACCGAAATAATATCTGATTACAAAAATCAGAAAACCAAACCATAAATTAATTTTCTAGTTACTTAAACCAGAAAATAAATTATAACACAAAATCATTTTATTTTTCTTGTTACTAAAACTAGAAAATAAAATACCACAAAACTATCAGATTACAAAAATCAGAACAACCACAAAATAATTTTCTAGTTACCAAAATTAGAAAATAAATTAAAACACAAAATAATTTTCTAGTTACTAAAACCAGAAAATAATTATAACAACAAAATAATTTTATTTTCTTTGTTACAAAAACTAGAAAATAATATAATTTTATTTTCCTTGTTACTAAAACTAGAAAATAATATAATTTTATTTTCCTTGTTACTAAAACTAGAAAAATAAAATACGGATTCGGCCGCCGATAAGGCCTTCAATTAGCAGTTTAAACATAAAACATGAACAGATCAAACAAACAGTCAACAGATAAAATGCAATTCAAACAGATGTATTCATTCCATTCAGTTTCAATTTCGGTCAGTCAGTTCAGTACTTTTAATCAGTTCATTTATCAGTCATGATCAATTCAGCTTAACAGTAATCGATGGTTATCAGTAATCAATCAGTCATTAATCGGTAAACAGTATGAGGGTTGTTACAGACTTGATGGGAATTTAGTCCAATTATTAGGACCTATTGGTAGTTTACCTTAGATTTTATTAATGTGTTTAATGTATATGTTAAAAGAAATTAAATAGCAATTTGGGAACTTGGTAAAAAGCTATCTTTTTGGCTTTTTACCAAGTTCTCCCAAAAAAGTCACAAAAAAAGATCAAAAAGTTAACTTTTTACTAATTTTTCAAAATAATATATTTTGCATAAAAATATGTGTGATAAAATTTGTATGATATTATAGTAAAATTAGAGGCTCACAATTTGAGTTTTTAAATTTATCCACAATGATGTTGTAGGAGAAATATGTCCTATACAATTGAGTATATGACAAATTAAAAATTAATATTTATTATACCACATTATTATAAATCAAATTATGAGCGGTATTTTGTGAGTCTTAAACTTCTTTTATATTTTTAAAGTTTTTATACTTCTAAAGGCACACCTTAACATTTTTTTTTTTAATTAGTGTAAGATAACATCGTTCCTTATATTAAAGGGAGGGAAGGACGCGGCGTCGTTTCAAGTAAGATAACAAGTTTGCATGTTAAGGTGCGTGGGTTGGCACTAGCAATGGCAGATTGGCAAGCGATTACCGCCAGTTGGGAATGTCAGTTGTTTTACATGTGTTTGTCTAGCACTGGTCCATTACTTCGTGCTAATTTATTTTTAAATAAATTATACACTTTTTTCCAAGGCTTAAAATAAATAAATACATTGTGTTCCCTTGTAATTTATATAGCACTTTAATCTCATTTTTATCAATAATTTGTTAGAACAAATCTAAGGCTGCTAAACAAAATACCTTGTAAAAGTATATAAAACAGTATTCTTTTTATTTTGCCTAATTAGTTTAGTTAGTGTGTATTCTAACTATACCTTTTATTTTAGCTAATCAATCAAACTAACTTAATTAATTTTTAATAAAAAATATTGTAAATATAAATAAGAAATACAATCTTTTTTATAACATGCTGCATATGCACCCAGTATTGATGTAGTTAATGACGTGACATTTACAAATATTTATTTTTTTTAAAATATGTTATTAAATTAAAATTTTAAATAATATTTTTACACTATCATTTTTTTCAACGATCATATTCTTTCAACGATATTATTTTTAAATGACCATATTCTTTCAACAATAATATTTTCAAATGATCAAATGGGTTGGGGCAAAGAACAAATAGCAAATATGGAGCAAGCAGAGATACAACAAAGATGGAGGTAACAAGCAGATATAGGAAAAATGATGAGAATACCCTTTGCCTAGCAATGGGCGCTAGCTATTTGTGGAGACTCAACATGAACAAAATGTTTTTTTGTGATGCAGAGCCCTTTAGAGGAAGACCAAAACAACTTTACTGGCAAAAATGTCTCATATAGTCATTTTGCCTCCTCTTTGGTGTTGCTTTTAATTCTATGGATGTAAAAATGATGTTGCCTCCTTCAATATATATATATATATATATGATGCCATCATCTATTTTACACAAAAATATGTATTTTACGTTATTTATTTTTTGTGTTTTCGCAACATCTGCATTCGTTGCAATTCATTTAACCTTACTAACAAGAAGGTTAGTATAATTATATCAAAATTATGAGGCTTACTATAGTTTTCCTAACCTTATGGAAGGCCAGTGTAATTTACCCTTCATTTTTGAAATTTTGATTTGTTCAATTTTGATGTTAAATTTTAGGACAATTATCATGTCTCCGCAATAATACGAATTACTCATTGAAACTTTGAAAATTACATTCCCTTAACCACCACTATATCACCTTCCCCTTTATTTCTCCACCACCCCCAACTTCTCACCTATGTATTCCTACTTTTCTTAGCCATTACTCCCCTAGCATCCGTAGTCCCCTTACATAGAAACCTTATTTGTCCCTTTCTGAAATGGCTTTAATGGTAGCTTTGATGTGAATGTTTGATTGTGGTTGTCATGCGGAAAAGTAGCGACAAGTTGATGGTGTATTGTGTGGACCAACTATTCAAGAAAAGACCCAAGTGATGGAGACTAGTGGAGAGGCCGTGGAGGATTTGGATGGGAAGGGTTGTGAATGGAGGTGACACTTGATTTTGGGTGAGGGGTTGAAAGAGTAATAATGGTGGTGCATATTTTTTTTTCTAGTGGTGTTTGTGGGGGTAGGTGGTTGGCAATTATGGATGTAAGGTTACCGTGGTAACTATTGATTTATAGCAAGAGGAGTGATTGAAACGCCCTTCAATCACTACCCCTACCACCCCACACACGTGGCGGGTGGTGATTGGAGAAGGAAAAAAAAAAAAGAAAAAGAAAAATCTGACCAATCAGAGAGAGAGAGGGTCAAAGGGGATGGGGAGAAAAGGGGGTCCGGATCATTTTTCTTGTAGCAATAATGGAAAGGTTGGGAGAAAGTCGGGCAGGGGCGGAAGAAGATGAAGGGAATTTGGTATTTTTCATTTAGTTATGGAAGGGTTATTAGGGTCATTTTATTTTTTGTTAACACTTTTTTTTTTTTTTTTGGTAACATTGTTATTGTTAATAGACAAATTTTGAATAAGAAAAATTTGTAATGTCTCAAAAGAGGGGGAATCAATATTTTAAACAAGAAACAAACTTCAAAAGATATATTTATAATTTGTCCTAAATTTTATACATTGTGTCAAATTGGTTCAATCACAAATGGACGTTACAACTGTTGTTTAGCGGCTCCCTTTCCCCCTAGGCCCTTTCCCCCACCCCCTTACGTGTAGGCTAGATATATACACTGTATTTCCTCGTTAAAAAATAAAATAAAATCAGCAGTTCCATTGTAAAACCAGCAGCTCCATATCCATTGTAAAACCGCCGAATGCAAAGATTCCAAAACAAGTTTGGGGTATGAAGTGAAGACCAAATAATAATGTCATAAAGATGGCATCAATTTTATTACAGAAGTAATCCAACAAACATCAGTTGAAAGGGAACATTAAACTTAAGAATGCCACCAATTTTGCCCTACAGGCTCTTCCAATTGAGATATTCAACTTCCCACACAACAGCCTCAGTATCAGTCATTTTCCGCTATATATATCAACAACTATGAATGTATGACATGAAAAAGCGATAATTCCTTCAAAGCCAGTAACCATATTTTTAGTTTCAACTGTCACAAGCTTCCTTTTCATCACAACTCGGAAAAAGTATTCTACATGTCTCTTCTATCTCGCCCAAAAAAGGGAAAAAAGAAAAAAGAAAAAAAAATAAACAAAAAACAAAAGTTTGTGCTTGCTACTGAATCTTTGGTTCCTCCATTGAATGTCAACTAAGAAGAACAGCAACCTCCCTTCGTATTCCCTGATGCATCGGAGACATTGATAGTTGTCCCTTGACCAGGAATTGCAGTGGCAGCGGCTGCTTCCTGGGCTGCCAGTGCTTTCTTGCTTATGATGTGATATATCTCCGTCAAAATGGTTTGGAATGCCTTGTTGATGTTGAGTGCTTCCAATGCTGATGTCTCAAGAAATGAAAGTCCTTCCTTCTCAGCCAAGGCCTGACCATCCTGCTCTGAAACGGCTCTGAGATGGTTTAGGTCAGACTTGTTTCCAGCCATCATGATTACAATGTTTGAATCTGCATGGTCCCTTAATTCACGGAGCCACCTCTGGACATTGTCGAAGGTTTGCCTCTTAGTTATGTCATAGACAAGGAATGCACCTACTGCTCCCCTATAGTAAGCACTAGTAATAGCTCGGTATCTCTCCTGGCCTGCAGTATCCCATATTTGTGCCTTAACTGTCTTTCCCTCTACCTGTATCAGAAAATTTGGTAAAATATGCATTAGAATTGGCATAATGGATATTTTAAAATCCATCATTCCTTAAACTGCATGGAAATGAAAAAGGAAGAGAGAAGGAACACTCGCTTCCAATTTTGAAACAAAAAAGTGATGCATATCTTGTAATATATTCCATATGCAGACATACTTTCAATTTCAAACTATTAAGTGAAAAAATAAATTGGGATTCCTAAATATTATAGATTAGCATATGATTAGTAGACAAGTTCAAACCAACAAAGCCTTAATGAACTAAATGTACATAAGTGCAAATCTGTTCACACACATATGAACAATACACAACATTGGTCCCACCAAAAACTGAAAATAAGCCAATCAAATGTTGTGTATTGTTCAAATTGCGTGAACAAATTTACACTAAAATGTACATGGAATGGGCTAGAAAACTTTGCTAAGCACTTCCCAATTTCAACAGTACAAGTGTGTTGAATCAAAGTTGTAAACTACAGTAAATGAATACTAAACAATCACATTCATTAATCTGCAGAAACTTCAGGTAAAATGTTGGTGAAGTGAACCCATATCCTGCCTGAACCCCATTATTAATGTATGATATATAATCAAATTACCAAGGGACACTTGTACTGAAGAAAGAATGCACATCAATCCATTACCGGATCATGTGGTCCTGTAAGCCTTATGGTGTCATCCCATTGAAAATCTACTTACCCCATTCTGTTGCCCATAACATCAAGTAATTACCATAAAACACGCCATGTTAGGCCTCAAGAGATCCAAGCCTTGGATTTGTCATTGCAAGTTATCGTACTTACAACTTTTGAACTACAATGGCTTCCAATTCCAATGCTCAGTTGGATTCCATGGTGCCAAGTACACTCAGCACATAAAGTATTCACCTAAACTGGAAATTACCATCCAAAGACTCTTCTTGACATTTCAGTGTTAGAATTTCACGCTAGTAACTTTTTTCTCTGACCCTTTCCTAAACCCACACTTTCTTTTAGATGTACTGCCAACGCTTTTCCTACTGTTTTACGAGTTACAACTAACATGGTGTCAGCATTAAATTTCACATCTCGTTGGGCAACCTTCACTTTTAACCAAAAAATCATTGTAAATTATCACATCACACTCTTTATTTTTCTGCATATCTTTTCATAAAAAATCAAAAATTAATAAAATAATTTATTCTCAAACCAGCCCATGTCAAATGGGTATCATATATATACACAGGCACAAAGCTATATGCCGGTTTGTGGAATAAAATAATCTATTCTCAAACCAACCCCACCTCAAATGGGTATCATATATATACACAGGCACAAAGTTATATGCCTGTTTGTGGAATATTCGCAAACGTAAATTTAAAAACATCTAATTACATAAAACTCTGTGCAGAATTATAAAAGTTCTAAACCAACATTGAAATTAGACAGATCAAATTCAAGGCAGATAAAAAATTAAAAAACAATAAAAATCAATAAAAGGCACGACAGAGTAGAGAGAAACCTCACCTGAAGAGTTCTGGTAGCGAACTCGACTCCGATCGTGGATTTGGACTCCAAGCAGAACTCATTCCGTGTAAATCTAGAGAGAATATTGGATTTCCCAACACCAGAGTCTCCGATCAACACGATCTTGAATAGATAGTCATATTCATGATCTACTTTATGCGCCATCTTTTTATCTTCTCTCTCTCTCTCTCTCTCTTCACAAATTCAGATCCAAATCATTCAATAACACACAGATCTCATCAGAATCAAATCAAACCCTAACAATCAATCACAAACACAAACATATAGCATATAGATTACCGTGATATAGAGAGAAGAAAGCTAACTGTAAATCGTTGATGCGAAATGCAGGGACTAGGATAGGATGATAGCCTTCAATGTGTGTTTTGCTGATTTTGCAAAGCGAAATCAGAGAGAAAGAAACGATCACAAATGAGGAAAAAAATCTTCGAAACGGGCTCTGTGTCCCCTAGGTTGATATCATCAGTTACCATGTGGAAATGTATTTGTAGATATTTTTCTTTTTTTTTATTGGGCAGGACTTGTCTTCCGGGGGCCCACTCTCGGGCCACCTCGATGATCCGGTAAGACTTTTCCATTAGATTATGGACAAATTACATCATAGCGAGGCAGAGAATAAAACTATTAAAATATGTGGGTATAAGTAATTTTATGATGAGATAAAAGTGAAAAATAGTGGGAGTATAAAATGCATTAAATTTTTTTTTTCATTGAAATGCAATTCTCCCTTAAATTACTGATGGAAAAAAAATTAAGGTCAAATTTGGCATCTTTTAAAAAATTCAAAAAGTCAAAAAGTCACTATCCTATTTGTACGGGGAGGAAATAATTCTCCTCGTATAATCCTGTTGACCAAGTCCACGCTCCTCCGTATGACGTCGCTTCGTCACCTGAAAACACAAACGTGAGCTAGCCGGCGGGTGTGTGCCGGAAACCTCTCCGATGCCTAAGTCAGAAAACTTGACAAATAGACAAAACTTTAAGTTCTCAGGAAGGTTGTGTTCAATTACCTCCTCCAAGGTGATGTTTGTGAGCTTTTATAAGTTTTCCGTGGCACAATCCTAGTAGGACTTGTACTTCTCCATGCAGAGTCCTCCTAGGATTCATTCTCCTAAGGATAATACTTATCCTTTTACACCCTCCCTCACTGCTTAAACCAAGTGGGATGGTTCTCTTTATGGCCGAACTTCCATTTGACCGAAGTAAAAATGGCTATGCCGAGCCACAAAGTAGGCCGTACTAACAGTTGTTCGGTTCTTCTTCATGCTACACCATATCTCGGTTCTTTCATACATGAACCGAGGTGTGTTTGGACCGATCTACTGAGTAACAATATTACAACCGACCTATCCCGAATTCAATCATGACCGGACTACCTTTTTGAGACCGGACTAATTCAAGTTGTCAAAACCGAAGCAGCTTTGCAATTCCTTTAGCCGAAGTAACTTCATCTCTTCTGACCGATGTAAGTCAATCATCTCCGCAGAGCCAGAGTAAATCTATCGTTCTTGAGCCGGAGTCACTTCAACAACTCGGGCCGGAGTGACTTTTATCTCTCTTGGGCCGCAGTAACATTTCGGCCTTTTACCCAGTCCTTGGCATTTTGGGCCACCAAGTCCATCTCACAGCTCGGCCCAATTGTTACCAAAAATTACCCTCTCAATTGCCCCTTAATTCCATCTGCATAGCATGATTGGGATTACCAGTCCACCAGCCGAGCTGGCGTTGTTTTAAGCTTTTCCAGCCGAGCTAAAAATACTTTAGCCTCTCCAGCCGAGCTAAAGATTCTCGAACTTTTAAGCCGAGCTAATTTTACTCCAGGCTCCGTTTTGTCCGGTCAAAAACGTCTCTTCAATCATAGCGTCTGTAACGCTTCCCATTCCAGTGACACGTGGCAAGCTCTGATTGGCTGGGAGCAGCTGTCACGCCGCCCTCGTAGTACGAAATTTTTGAACAGTTCCCGCCCTTTCTCTCTCCTTCCACAAAACGATCATTCTACCTTTGAACCATTCACCTTCTTCTCTCTCTGTGCCTCTGCTTCTCCAGCCTCTGAGCCTCCTGAGTCTGTGTTCTTCGTTGGTTCCGTTGCTCCTGCCCTCTGCTTCATCTTTTCCTGGTAAGCAATCCTTTTTCCTTTCCTTTGTTTTGCTTTCATATTCTATTTTCCACGCTCTGCTTGCTTTTGCAAAACATTTTTCTTCCAGCTCTATTTTACTTTAGTACTTTCATGGAAAAATCAGTAAAGCCCATGAGTATATGTTATATACCCTAAAGAAAACTCGATTTTGATCCAGAATCACGTCCCAACCGAACTAGGATACTGTTTGTGTTATGTATGTAGATAGATTCAGAAAATAACCGAACTAGAACTTGTAGGAATATCAGTAGTTTCTTCTGAACCACTCTAGCCAAGATAAGATCACCGAACAAGCTTGCACATACCGAACTAGGTACTTCGGTCTATAACCGAGCTACGCTTTTGGGGCCAAACCGGCTTTCTTGGTTCTTAAACCGAACTCAGAAAGCCGCCCCTAGGGGCTCAACCGAAGTAACTTTCCTCATACTGCAACCGATTTAGGCCTTGGGACTAAACCAGTTTTCTTAGTTTTTTAGACCGAACTCAGAAAGCTGCCCCTAGACGTTAAACCGGTCTATCGAACAAACTGCTCAAACCGAGCTACCAGACCTTCTGAAGAAAGAACCAGTTCTTTGAGGCCGAAGTAGGGCTTTTATACCTTGCTTTTAAATTGTAGCACGGTCCATTGATCAGTGCTTTAACCCCCTCTGTTTTTTACTTTGCAGACTTAGGTTACCCAGGCACTCCTGCGTGCGCTCAACCGAGCTTCTGAGCACGATTATTGCACCGAAATAACTTATTCGTTAAATTATACAACAAATGGGTAAGTATAGGTATCTAGTTGAGACCCCTGGTGGTATGGCCGAATTTAGGAAGGACTACCAAATTCCAGATGACGTTCATCTGACGTTGTTTTACGAGTTACAACTAACATGGTGTCAGCATTAAATTTCACATCTCGTTTGCCAACCTTCACTTTTAACCAAAAAATCATTGTAAATTATCACACTCTTTATTTTTCTGCATATCTTTTCATAAAAAAATTAAAAAAATTAATAAAATAATTTATTCTCAAACCAGCCCATGTCAAATGGGTATCATATATATACACAGGCACAAAGTTATATGCCTGTTTGTGGAATATTCGCAAACGTAAATTTAAAAACATCTAATTACATAAAACTCTGTGCAGAATTATAAAAGTTCTAAACCAACATTGAAATTAGACAGATCAAATTCAAGGCAGATAAAAAATTAAAAATCAATAAAAGGCACGACAGAGTAGAGAGAAACCTCACCTGAAGAGTTCTGGTAGCGAACTCGACTCCGATCGTGGATTTGGACTCCAAGCAGAACTCATTCCGTGTAAATCTAGAGAGAATATTGGATTTCCCAACACCAGAGTCTCCGATCAACACGATCTTGAATAGATAGTCATATTCATGATCTACTTTATGCGCCATCGTTTTATCTTCTCTCTCTCTCTCTCTCTCTTCACAAATTCAGATCCAAATCATTCAATAACACACAGATCTCATCAGAATCAAATCAAACCCTAACAATCAATCACAAACACAAACATATAGCATATAGATTACCGTGATATAGAGAGAAGAAAGCTAACTGTAAATCGTTGATGCGAAATGCAGGGACTAGGATAGGATGATAGCCTTCAATGTGTGTTTTGCTGATTTTGCAAAGCGAAATCAGAGAGAAAGAAACGATCACAAATGAGGAAAAAAATCTTCGAAACGGGCTCTGTGTCCCCTAGGTTGATATCATCAGTTACCATGTGGAAATGTATTTGTAGATATTTTTCTTTTTTTTTATTGGGCAGGACTTGTCTTCCGGGGGCCCACTCTCGGGCCACCTCGATGATCCGGTAAGACTTTTCCATTAGATTATGGACAAATTACATCATAGCGAGGCAGAGAATAAAATTATTAAAATATGTGGGTATAAGTAATTTTATGATGAGATAAAAGTGAAAAATAGTGGGAGTATAAAATGCATTAAATTTTTTTTTTTCATTGAAATGTAATTCTCGCTTAAATTACTGATGGAAAAAAAATTAAATTGATCTAATAATTATAATTATATTATTAAATTTTATTTATCTATAAAATTATAATCATTTAAGATTTTTGTTTAAATTTAAAAAAAAAAAATGAAGTTTTCGATAATGAGCTAAGTGAGCCACCTCTGTTATGTTTGCTTTGACAAGCTAGTAAAAAGTTAATTTTTAATTTTTTTAGCCAAAAAAGTTAACTTTTTTACTCAAGTCACTATCCAAAAACTTAACTTTTTTGACTAAAAAAATTAAAAGCCAACTTTTTACTAATTTCTTAAAACATCATAATGATTAGTCTATTGTAATAAAGAACATCGATTTTTTTATTCTCATTGAATACTTATGATTAATCATTTTGTTTAGAGATAATTTTTAAAAAAAAATTAATGATAAGAAATAATAATTTATCATGTATTCTAATAATATAACACGGTGACAAAATTAAGTGACATATAACTATTTTAATTCTTAAAATTATGTTTATTGCTTATTATTTTTATAGTAAATATGATATGATTATGTTATTTTGATTATCGAATTAATTTTAAATTTTTGAATAGATAATTTACACTAATAAAAATATTATAATATGAACAGTTGGATTCATTGGGAACACATGTGATCTCACAGAAGTCCAAACATTTCCTCCAGCTGTGTTTATTTTAGTTGGATTCAATTGGATACCTTTGGGTGTATTTAATTGAACGGACTGAATAAGGGAGGATTAGAATCCATCAGACTTGAATTCTGAGATTATGAATTCTTTGAACTATTTGGTTAGATTAGATATATATCTTGGGGTTTCTTTTCTCATGCGATTGGATGTCTAGAAAAGATTATTTTTAGTGAATCTAATGTTTAGTTGGACGGACTGAATAAGATAAATGAGTAAAAGACTATTTTACCATTTTTCAATTGTTTACTAAGTAATAGCAATATTAAACATATGAGGTACTTACGTATATGTCATAATAAGTGGACTTATTGTCTAATAGGTCCTATAAGAAAAATTTGTCATAAAAAATGTCACTAATTGTAAGTTTTAGCGACAATTTATAAAAATCATGACAAAAAAAAGTTACTAATTGTCAATTTTTAGTGACATATATAAAAAATTATCACAAAAAATTACTTTTAGAGACAATTTTACCAATACTTATTTTTAATAGGATTTAATGGGAATTAAGTCCAACTATTAGGATCTATTGGTAATTTATCCTAAACGTATCTTTAATATTTTAATTATTTTTAGTTAGATTAAATAAAAATTTATTTTATTTTATTTTTTACACAATTAAATAAATTATTTTTAAAAAATTAAACAAATTAAATAAATAAAATATCAATAAAAATATGTTATTTTTTAATTAAAATTTTAAATAAATTTGTTTTTAAAAATAATAATAATTAAACAATGAAATTAAATAAAATATCTATTAAAATTTAAATAATGAAAATAAATAAAATATAAACAAAATTTTAAAATAAAATATCAATAAAATGTCTATAAAAAATTATTTTTAAAAAATTAAATAAATAAAACATCAATAAAAAGTTAAATAAAATTATTTTATTTTTAAATTGAGACATTTAAATTTTATTGAATTTTATTAAATATAATACATAATTAAATAATAGAGGGTCAAAATGATCATTTTATCACCTGATCCCAACAGTAAATAGTCCCTCCAAAATTGTCCCACACCTTCCCCCGGATAGTATAATCCCTTATATGGGGAATAAAGAATCCGACTGGACTCCATGTTCGGCAGACTACAAGCAAAAAACAAATCATGGACTATTCACACCTTCAGATAAGCAATCCGAACATTGAATAATCCCTTCTTAATCCCCCCAATCAAACACACCCTTTGTTTCATAGATAGTGTTAGAGATCCTAAAAATTTTATTAAATTTTTTATTAAATGTATTATATGAGTATGAGACTTACATGGGACCTACATGATGTGAATTCTACACTCATATAAAATATTTGATAAAAACTTTAATAGAACTTTTAGAATTCTTAATATTTTTTTTTTGTTTTATTTATTTAATTAACGGTGAAGAGAATATTGGTCCTTATGTTACGTGGGGAGAGGAGGACGCGGCGCCGTTTCGGGAAAGTTGCATGTTAAGGTGTGGGTTGGAGCAAGGATCCTTTCTTGCCCTACTTATTTGGTGGGTTATTGGGTTTATTTTTTAGTTTAATTTTGATACTACAAATTATTTATATTTTTTGATGGGTTATTGGGTTTATTTTTTAGTTTAATTTTGATAATATAAATTATTCATATTTTAGAATTTATCATGTATATTATACATGTAAAAAATTAAGTTGATCGGATATCAAAAGAATTAAAAATCATTTATTAAAAAAAATTAATAAACAATTTTATTGTTTAATAAAACTTTTAATTCACATGATTTTTGATATCTGATTATTTTAATTTTTTTATAAATATGATATGCATGATAAATTATAAAATTTAAACGGTTTAAATTATTAAAATTACCTAAAAATGAGTCTAATGATCCACCAAACCAAATAGAGAGCCAGGAAGAGGATCTCGTGTCGTGTGGGTTGGCAGTGGTAATGGCAGATTGGCAATTTGGCAGGTGGTCGTCGCGCCAGTGGGGAATGTTAGTGGTCTCCCATGCACTTTCACATAATAATGTGCAATTCTAATCATGTAAGGAAAAGGGCAAGATACCATTTAAGGTGGGTATATTTAAACCATTGGAGCACAAAAAGTCCTTCTTTTTTACCAAATTTGAATTTGGTGATACATTTGATAAACCATTGGAGATAGTCTAACATAACTAAAAATCTCATGAGTCATAATTAAAATAATCTTATAACTAAATAAGAAAATTGATCATAACTAAAAAAAAATGATATAATTAAAGATGTATATGATATACTCCGTTCATGGATGTGCATAGTAGAACTTTCCTAAGGGAAGGGAAAATAACATCAAAGTGGGTATCAAAAAAAAAAAAAATACAAATTAGTATTAATATTTGTACACTTTAATAATTAAAATGTTATATTTTATTATTATTCTAATTTTTTTTTTCCTGACTCACTGTTATGTTATTCCCCCTAATCGTAACTATAATAATGATGATGTGTGGTCCAAAACAGCAAATATTATCTACCAACAAAAGGTTAGAGATTCTAAATTTTTTATTAAATAGTTTATTAAATATCTTATATGAGTGTAGATTTTATATTTATATAAGACTCACATTCATGTAAAATATTTGATAAACAGTGATACTATCTATACCAATTAGTACATACAGCTTTATTTTTTGATAAAACATTTGATAGAAATTTTAGTATTCCTAATATTACTATTATCTACAACTGGACCTATGCATTTTTATTATTTTGTAATTTTGATTTGTTCGACTTTGATATTAAATTTTAGGACAAATTCTGTTTAACAATAACACAAATTATTTCTTAAAATTCAGGAAATTATATTAAAAAAATAATATTCTCCATGTTAATGAGGTTAGTTGACCTAATAGCTTATGCTGAGACAAGCAACATAATTTTACATAGTGCTCAATTTATTTTGAAATTTTTTATTTGGAGTTGTATTATATGCATCTTTAATTACGATCTTTGTGGGTTTTGGTTATGACTTGATCTCATTTAGGAATTGGCTATTTTAATTGATTTTTTAACTTTTTATAAAAAGATGTGCAGAAAAGTAGAGAAATTGATGTGGCAACAGATTATTTTGGAAAGATGGGTAAAAGTCATCTTCCAGCTTTTAATCCATTTTAAATCACATCATCTCTCACATTTTTTACACATTTTTTCAGAAAAGAAAAACTAAAAAAAGTTAAAAAATCATCTTTTAACCATCTTCCCAAAATAAAAAGTCATCTTTTGGCTAAATTCTAAAGTTTCCGAACGAGGCCAAGTGTTAATTATAACTTATTATGATGTCCATGATGATATAATTTTAATTATGATTCATGAATTCTTTAATTATATCTTATATAATATTTGGTAATAATTTTTTTTAAAAAAAATTATGACTCTCGTAGGATTAAATTAAATACCATAACTTGAATATAGAATTACCCTTTTATTCTGATTTATCCAAACATAAACCAAAGAACTCCACTTCTTTCTCATTTTTTCACCAATCCCTCGTTTGTTACTCCTTTTCTTACCCACCACCCTCTGACCTTCCCTCTTGCTTTTCCACCACCCCTAACCCCCAAACCTACCACAGCGCACCATTCCTTATACGTTTCTTAGGCACGACTCCCTTAATCTCCACTACCCCCTTCCCCACACAAACCTTCGGTTCAACCTTTCAAAATGATTTTGATGATAGATACTGGGTATGGATTTGATTATCTATACTATTATATTAATTGAAGTCTAAAATTTGGCATAGTGAAACTTTTGTCATATGACATTTTGATAATAAATAATTTTAAAAAAAAACTACTCTACAATAATTTCTCACTCAATCACACTCTCCAAACAACTACTCTACAATAATTTCTCTCTTCTCCAATAACTTACTTTTATCATTTTTCTTTTTAACTTTTTGTTTTCTTCCTCCCTTTTCAAAATGGTTTTCTCTTTTAAAGAAAGGGTAAAGGGCTATTTTGAAAAGACCAAAAAAGGCTATCTTTTGGCTTAATTTCAAAAGTCAAAAGCCAACTTATTTGAGCAAACAATTA